TGGGCCGCGGATCACAGTTTATGGCAACCCCGAGCTGAGAGCCCCGCCTCGACTCCGTCTCTGCAGCCGGCTTCCCCGCTCCGATCCCTGGGAGCTCTGCTGCACTCAGGCACCCCCGGTCTTTCTGTGACCCCGAGGGTCCTGAGTCCACACTGTCCCGCGAGGGCTCCACCCCCCGCTTAGCCACTGGAGCGACGTCCCTCCACGGAGCCAACTTCTAAAAGGTCCGATTTTGTGCTCCGCGGCTCTAGCACTTGCCAGAAGCGGCCGACGGAGGCCCCCTCCCCCGCCGTCTATCCTCCCGAATATCGCCTCGGATTCACTTCTCCGCACGTCCTACCTTCCAGAAAGTGGTCGCTTCTCTGTTCAGAGAGTTGTTGCTACTCTCTTCTTCGATCTCCTGTTGAGTTCGTAGGTGTTCAGAATGGTCTGATCCCTATCCAGCTGAATTCCTGAGACCAGACGAAATCCAGGTCTCCTGCTCCTCCGCCATCTTGCTGCGCCCCCCTCCTCGGTGTCAGTCTTAAAAGCTGGAGTACCCAATGTAGAGTAAAAACCCCTCCTTCCTCGGAGAGAAGCTCAGCATTCTGCATTCCTTCCAGGTGGTGGATTATTTCGCCAGCAGTTAGGTTTATGGTGAGGTTGTGTCGCAGCCTCTCCTACCCACTTTAACATAGTTTCCCTTTCATTTGCCCTGTGTAAAGGGGCTGCTCTGCTAGTTTTTAGGGTTTTTTCAGAGGAAACTGGTCTATATATCTGTAGATTCAGTGTGTCCATGAGAGGAGGTGAGTTCTGGATATTCCTACGTCACCATCTTGAACCAGAACCCAGCCAATTCCTTATAATAAATCTCTATATAGCCTACTCTTCTGTGCCTCTAGGGAAACCTAATACAGCCCCTCACTGGAACTTTCTGAACCATTTCCCCTCCACCTTGCTTGTCTACCATCAGAGGGTCATTGTAAGACTACGATGGCTGGGGGACATGGGATGGCACAGTCAGTTAAGCATCTGACTCTTGGTTTTGGCTCAGGTCTTGATCTCGGGTTGTGAGATCGAGGGCCACATCAGGCTCCATGCTCAGTGTGAGTCTGCTTGAGATTCTCTCTCTCCCTCTCCTCCCTCTGCACCCCCCCCTACTCTCACACATGCTCTCCCTCTCTCTGAAATAAATAAATCTTTTTTTTAAAGATTTATGTATTTATTTATTTATTTTGACAGAGAGAGAGACAGAGAGAGACAGCGAGAGAGGGAACACAAGCAGGGGGAGTGGGAGAGGGAGAAGCAGGCTTCCCGCTGTGCAGGGAGCCCGATGCGGGGCTCGATCCCAGGACTCTGGGATCATGACCTGAGCCGAAGGCAGACGCTTAACGACTGAGCCACCCAGGCGCCCCATAAATACATCTTTTTTAACAAATAAAACTACAACGACATAAGAGGACAGAAATCAGGATGATTAAGGCATATCCTAAGCCACATACCTCCATTGGCAACATTGAACTTCACTCCAAACTCTCCCCCTGGTCCTCCAGGGCAATGGCTGGCTGTTAGGATGATTCCACCAGCTGCCTTGATCTTCCTGATGATGCAGGAAACAGCAGGTGTCGACAAGATGCCATTCTGTCCAATAATCAGTCGTCCAATCTAGATCAGCCAAAGAAAAAAATCAATCCAGTTACATGGGATCAGAGGCATTTCATTGGGAAGTGCCCCAGGCTCTGTTAATAGACAGTAAATCACTTGACAAAAGGAACTGAGTGGGCTTCAGGTTAAGGGGTGAAGGAGAGCTCTGGCATTGTCTTTATAACACCTTTGGGGCACCCACATCTAGCAGTCAATTATCAGGCTGCAAACTGGATCTGCCTCATTGATATTTAGTAGTTTGAAACATCCGCTTTTGATGACCAAGAGGTTAGCTTGAACTACACAAGACGTTCTTAGTTTGTTACTGGCTTAGAAACTCTACACGTGAACATGCTAGAAATTAGAAGAAAAAAGAAATGGAGTGCTTCTCTGCTTCACCCCTTTCCTCTCTCTTCCTCAAGACAAGCTCATACAGGAGGGACCTGGCTTACTATAGCCTCGTCATACAGCGGGTGTATTTAACTGCCCTCGGAACGACCACTCTTACGAAGGCAAGACTTATTTCTGCCACTGACAACATGTGCTGGAGACACCAGAAAAAACTCCCCAGTCATGCTAGGCAGAGATCTGGAGGTCATCCATGGGTGTGGTCAGAGTCTTCCTAGAGCTACAAAATTGACTTTAAAAAAGAAAGCCACATAGCCCTGCCGAGTATTACTCAGTATGCTTTGTCTTAAAATAGAGACCAACGTCATCCAATCCAGTGGTTCTCAAATGTTACGACAATTCAGAATCTGAATGAAGCCTTAAAATTACCAATACTCAAGCTCTACAGGTGATTTCCACGTTCAGCCAAGCTTGGTGATCAAATCCCCTTGTTAAGAATCAGCAGCACGGCCATCACCTATGAGCTTGGTAGAAATGCAGAACCTCAAGGTCCACTCAAGACCCACTGAGGAAGAATCAATAAGTACCTTAACAAGATTCCCTCCCCACTTCCAGCTACTTCATTTGTCCATTAAAATGTGAGAAGTACTGCTGTAGCCCACAAGCCAAGGTAAGCTCTAGCATCCAGCTTAACGCCAAAATTGCTCTGGCACCAACTACAGCATTGCTAGAAGTAGGTCACTGACCAAATATGAAAATGAGGAAAATACAGGAAAAAATGTACAAAGAGCAAACACAAGAGCTCCAAGAACAAAACAGTCCTGGGATGATTTAGTATGGAAAGACCCACAACATCCCCAGAGTACAGATTTTCAAGTGGAGGAGACAGTTTATAAACAAATAAACCTAATAATAATATTTACTAGTTTGATATGTATTGGTAAGGAAATCGGCAGGGTTCTGTGAAAGAGAATAACAGGGTGTCAATTTTAATAATAAAAATAAACATGTTAATAAAATAATAGCTAAGGGAGCTTGGATTTTTATCCTAAGTGCAATGGGAATTCATTGAAGAGCTTTAAGCAGTGGAAGTGATGTGATATTTACATTTTAAAAGATCACAGAAATGAGTAGTCCAAATGATCTTTTCAGAAAGCAAGTCATATCGTGTCAGCAAAATATGTCAATGACAAACCCAAAGTAAAGCCAAAGTCATCATCATATTCTTTAAGGCCCTGCATGACCTAACCCCCATTACCTGACATCCTCTACTTCCCTCTCTCCTCTGCTCCAGCCACATTGGTAGGTTTACTGTTCCTCAAACACATCAAGCATGATCGGGGCCTTTGCATTTGCTCTTTCCTCTGCTTTGGACACTCTTTTTTTTTTTTTAAAGATTTTATTTATTTATTTGAGAGAGAGAGAGAATGAGAGATACAGAGCACGAGAAGGAAGAGGGTCAGAGGGAGAAGCAGACTCCCCGCTGAGCGGGGAGCCCGATGCAGGACTCGATCCCGGGACTCCAGGATCATGACCTGAGCCGAAGGCAGTCGCTTAACCAACTGAGCCACCCAGGCACCCTGCTTTGGACACTCTTACCCAGATATGCATATGCCTCCTTCTCCGATCCTTTGGGTTTCTGTCCCAATGTCAACTACTCAGAGATAGCACCATTGGCTGACCAATATAACATAGCACCCACACATCCCTAAGTTTTCTATTTTCCTCTCTTTCCTTTACCCTGTTTTAATCTTCCTTATTACACATATTGCCACCTAATATTTTCCATATTATTCGTTTACTTATTTCCCAGCTAAACAGAAGCTCTAAGGGCTTTGTTTTATCCATTGTTATATTTTGAGAACCTAGAACAAATCTAGTCTGTAGTAAGATCACAATAAATAAGTTGAATGAATTCACCGAAAAAAATGAATGAATGGCTGCTATGTGAGAAATGCATTAGAGTGACAAGAGCCAAAAGAGGAAGATCAGATGGAAGAATATTACAGTGGAGCCGAGTGTGGACAGTGTCTTGGACTAGGCTAGAGGCAGAAGAAACAAAGAGAAGGGATTCTATTTGAGACTCTTTTTTGGAAGGAGAATGAAAAGAACACATAGTTAGAATGAAATATAAAAGAGAGGAACTCTGGTAGCAAGCCTTCAAGATGGCCCCCAATGATCCTTGCCTTCTGGTATTTGTGCCTTCGTGCAGTCCCCTCTGACTAAGTCCCACAGTGAATAAGGCAGAACTGGTGATTGGTAGAACACTGTAGAACTGAGAGTGCATGACTTCCAAGGTGAGGCCATAAATGACACTGTAGCTTCTACTTCTCTGTCTTGGATTGTTGACTCTGAGGGAGACCAGCCACTCTGTCCTGAAGACACGCAAGGAGCCCTGCGTAGCAGCCACCCAAAGGGAGAGGAACTGAGGTCTCCTACCAACAGCCAGCAGCAACTTGCCAGCTGTGTGAGTGGGCCATGTTGCAATGGATCCTCCAGTTGCACCAAACGTTCATATGACAAAGCCCCCACCAACACGTGACTGTGACTTCCTGAGAGTCCCCAAGTCAGAACAAACTATCTCCTGTGAGTAAAATAAATATTCGTTGCCATGTTAGGACATAAGTTTTGTCATAATTTCTTGCACAGCAATGAACAACTAATACAAGGGCAGTGAGGAAAAGAATCTACTCCCAGATTTCTACCTTTAATAATTTAAGGGATGATGGTGTCATTTGTCAAGATGGGAAAGACATTGGGCAATAATTATACTCATATTGTTATCCAGAGCCATAATAAATCATGTTCCACATGCTCTTGTTAAAATTTATTTAGTCATTCAACTCATCTTATTGAGGATTACCATGAAACAGGCAACGTCGAAGACCCTACAGATACAGCAATAAATATGGTTTAGTCACTGCCCTCAAGGAGTAAGTCTGTAGGTTCATGAATCTAAAAACTACTTGTAACCTTTGTTCATATTTTTCTGTCTCTCCCATTTTTAAAAATTGCTTGTAAAGAAACAACTGTTAAAGGGGGAAGGTGTGGGCGCCTGGGTGGCTCAGTCAGTTAAGCAGCTGACTCTTGATTTCAGTTCAGCTCTTGATCTCAAGGTTGTGAGTTCAAGCTCCATGTTAGGCTCCACTGGAGCCTACTTAAACACACACACACACACACACACACACACACACACACACACACACAATGTAAAGTTATATTCACTTTGGGGCTAGGACTTGGAAAAAATACAGAAATAAATATATACAATTTATTTATCAAGTAGTTGAGATTATAGACCAACTTTTTATCTTAACCAAATTTCAGTTATTTCTTGTTTGAAAAGGTAATATATATTCTGTTTAAGAAGGTTAATGTGAGGGGCACCTGGGTGGCTCAGTCATTGAGCATCTGCCTTCGGCTCAGGTCATGATCCCAGGGTCCTGGGATCGAGCCCCGCATCAGGCTCCCTGCTCAGCGGGAAGCCTGCTTCTCCCTCTCCCACTCTGTCTCTTGCTGTGTTCCCTCTCTCACTGTGTCTCTCTCTCTGTCAAATAAATAAATAAAATCTTTAAAAAGAGGTAATGCTGAACACTGTATATAAATTTAATTGTGGGACATCTCAGGCAATAATAAGGGCTGGAGGAGCTGCAAGAGCAAGTGATAGAGCTTCTTCTAAAGTTAGACATGAAAAACCATGAAGATACTTGTATCCCCCGCAAATCCTCCCTAAAAGGGGACTTGAGCAGAGAATGATTTTAAGAATCAAGCGGTAGAATGACCTAGTCTGTGAATACTGATCAGCCTCCTTCCCCTGTAGCCACTCCTGTCATTGACCAATGGGTTCAGGGAAAAAGTGATCATGGTGGCAAGGAGGGAGGTTATACACGGACTCAGCAACATGGATTTCCTCTCGCCAGCCTGGCTACAGCCACCAGTGGGCACCCGACAGAAACCAAAACTGAGTCCCTAATAGGGCACCATTCCCGGGGTGATCAGCTAACCACCTGGTTGCAGGTTGACTACACTGGGACCACTTCCATCGTGGAAGGGGAAGAGCTTTGTTCTTACTGAAGTGGACACACAGAAAAGAAGATACACCCAGAAGAAGAAGCACTGTGAAGACAGGCAGAGATCAGAGTAAAGCGGCCACAAGCCAGGGAATGCCAAGGAATATGGCAGCCACCACACCAGAAGCTAGAAGAGGCATGGAATGGTTTACCCTTAGAGCCCCCAGAGGAAGTATAAGACCCTGCTGGATTTCAGACTTCTGGCCTGCTAGCAACTGATAAAAGAAATATAACCTTTGGAAGCCCTGTTGTTTAAAGAAAGAGCACTCAATTTCAAAGTTAAAAGATCTAGATGTGAATCTGGCCTCCACCCCAGAGGAGGACAAATCACTTCACTTTTCTAAGGCTTCTTGTCTTCATCTGCAAAGCTGAGAATCTTAAGATGAGATCCCATAAAGAAAAACCCTTTGTGAAATTAAGCACGACATTAAGTTACCATCATCCTCCGCAAACACTTACTTTTTTACAAAGATTTTATGTATTTATTTGAGAGAGAGAGAGAGAGAGAGCACAAGCATGGGGAGGGGCAGAGGCAGAGGGAGAAGCAGACTCCCCACTGAGCAGAGAGCCTGATGCGGGACTCGATCCCCGGACGCTGGTATC